ACAATAAAAATACTAAAAATATCCACACAAAAATACCCAGGTGCACAACTACACATGCTGATCAACATTTCTGTAAAGTTTCATGACTCTAAGTCAAATACTTTTTGAGTTACATGCGACACAAGTTGAAAATTGCAAAATTTTACTTAGTCAAGAATAACTCTAAAAATGCTAAAAATATCCACACGAAAATATCCAGGTGCGCATTTACACATGCTGATCAACATTCCTGTAAAGTTTCATGACTCTAGGTCAAATACTTTTTGAGTTACATGCGACACAAGTTGAAAATTGCAAAATTTTACTAAGTCAAGGACAATAACTCTAAAAATACTAAAAATATCCACACGAAAATACCCAGGTGCAAAACTACACATGCTGATCAACATTCCTGTAAGGTTTCAAGACTAGGTCAAATACTTCTTGAGTTACATGCGACACAAGTTGAAAATTGCAAAATTTTACTTAGTCAAGGGCAATAACTCTAAAAATACTAAAACTATCCACACGAAAATACCCAGGTGCACAACTACACATGCTGATCAACATTCCTGTAAAGTTTCATTACTCTAGGTCAAATACTTTTTGAGTTACGTGCGACACAAAAGAGAACGGACGAACGGAAGGACGGACGGACGGACAAGGGTAAATCTAAATGCCCGCCACTAAAGTGGGGGCACAAAAACTGACTGAAACAATTAAAGTTTAATGAAAACGAAATTTGAAAAACTCTGAAAACACGAACATAGGTAAGGAACCTTTCATCGGTAAAATTACCTTTTTTTAAAATTGACAGAATAATCAACTTGAACAATGGAACACTGTAAGATTTTCTGTGTTCCTAAATGAACATGTCGTGTTCCGGTAAGTGAGCTCAATTACTAGCACCAACATCTATGCAGGCGGTAGGCAGTTATATTCATAAATACTTGATTAATATGCAAAATATTTGCAAAACTAGAAATGTGTCATCATGCCACGGATGCCCCCGCTTGCAGCCAAAATTTCAGATGTTATAATATTTAGTTCCAAATTTGTTTGCACAAATAATTTTTTTTCATTTTAAGTTCAAAGCCCTTAAAACTTTTCAATGTTAACACAAACCATTTTCATACAATGTTCAAGGCACTGAAATTATTCAGTCTAAACCTTTTGAAAATAGCATATTTCATATTTGTAGCCAAAATAATGGCTACATACATTTCAGTGCTGAAACTGAAAGTTCCAAATTTTTACAACTTTCAAGAAAGATAAGTTTGTCCAAAATCATTGAACCACGACCAAATTCAAACTTAAACTGCTTATTCCTAAGATGTATCTATATTATTTTCAAAGTGAAAGGGACATAACTCTGCCAAAAAGTCATCGAACCATGACCAAATTTAAACTTGACCTGCCCATTCCTTTGACATATCCATATGTCAAATTTGAGTAGTTGGGTAGATAATGAACAGAAACTGTAAATTTCATATTAATTTCAAAGTGAAAGGGGCATTACTCTGCCAAAAATCATTGAACCATGACCAAATTCCAACTTGGCCTGGGCATTCCAAAAATATATCCATATGTCAAATTTGAGTTGAATGTGTTGTACCATTGGGGAGATAATAAACAGAAACTGAAAATTTCATATTATTTTCAAAGTGAAAGGGGCATAACTCTGCCAAAAATCATTGAACCATGACCAAATTCGAACTTGACCTGTATTTTCTCACGACATATCCATATGTCAAATTTGAGTTGAATGTGTTGTACTGTTGGGGAGATAATGAACGGAAACTGAAAATTTCATATTATTTTCAAAGTAAAAGGGGCATAACTCTGCCAAAAATCATCGAACCATGACCAAATTCGAACTTGACCTGTATTTTCTCATGACATATCCATATGTCAAGTTTGAGTTGAATGTGTTGTACCATTGGGGAGATAATGAACAGAAACTGAAAATTTCATATTATTTTCAAAGTGAAAGGGGCATAACTCTGCCAAAAATCATTGAACCATGACCAAATTCGAACTTGACCTGTATTTTCTCACGACATATCCATATGTCAAATTTGAGTTGAATGTGTTGTACTGTTGGGGAGATAATGAACGGAAACTGAAAATTTCATATTATTTTCAAAGTAAAAGGGGCATAACTCTGCCAAAAATCATCGAACCATGACCAAATTCGAACTTGACCTGTATTTTCTCATGACATATCCATATGTCAAGTTTGAGTTGAATGTGTTGTACCATTGGGGAGATAATGAACGGAAACTGAAAATTTCATATTATTTCCAAAGTGAAAGGGGCATAACTCTGCCAAAAATCATTGAACCATGACCAAATTCGAACTTGACCTGTATTTTCTCACGACATATCCATATGTCAAATTTGAGTTGAATGTGTTGTACTGTTGGGGAGATAATGAACGGAAACTGAAAATTTCATATTATTTTCAAAGTAAAAGGGGCATAACTCTGCCAAAAATCATCGAACCATGACCAAATTCGAACTTGACCTGTATTTTCTCATGACATATCCATATGTTAAGTTTTAGTTGAATGTTGTTGTACCATTGGGGAGATAATGAAACGGAAACTGAAAATTTCATATTATTTTAAAGTAAAAGGGGCATAACTCTGCCAAAAATCATCAAACCATGACCAAATTCGAACTTGACTTGTATTTTCTCACGACATATCCATATGTCAAATTTGAGTTGAATGTGTGCAACCATTACTAAGATAATGAACGGAAACTGATGATGACGGAATGACAGAATGACGGAATGACGGAAGGACGGAATGACGGAATGACGGAAGGACGGAACAGGGTAACACTATATGCCCCGGCCATTACATGGCGGGGGCATAAAAAGTAAAACAATATATCAATTGAAAACATCAGTGACCATACGTATAATTTGAACAGCATAAACTGAGGGTACCTGTTAAGTTCATATTTTTGGTGTGTTTTTCGGTATTTTCATATAAACTTATTTCAACTTACAGGATCGTGAACGTTTTTGGTGGTGTCGTTGTTTGGACAGCATTTAGTAAGTTTTGTGTGTATTATAAACTTAGTAAGTTCTTATGTTAAATAAACTGTCCACTAGAAAATGATATCTAAACGCAGTGTAAAATGTTTTGTGGGAGGAAGTATGGTTAAAAGAATTCAAATATCTCAGCAATTTAATAAGAAAGTTAAAGAAATATATAGTACATTTGATTTTAGAACCATCCTTTACATTTTATTTTATAATGGCAAAAACTTTCCTAAACACTTTATTTTATAATTATCCTTGAAATTTTATTTTAAAACGGCAAGACTTATCCATTACATTTTATTTTAGAATGGCCAATAAAGTTTTCTAGTTTTCCATTTTTAATTTTAAAAAGGGAACCCAATAAAAATTTTTAAATATATTCAGTTTTTTTCCTGAAAATTTTTACAGGAAGTAAAACTGTTTTTCGGGAGGGTTTTTCGCCGAAAAAAAAACGTCAGCAATAATAGACTTATTTGAAAAGTTTGTCTTATATAGTTTTATACTTTTTTCTTTAATGAGATGTAGAGAAAATCAGCCACATCCGGTTTTTTTGTGTGATGCCAAGGGCAATAACTCAAAAGTTATGATGTCAAAACTTAAATACTTATTCGAGTAACCAGTTGCGTGGTGTGACGCTAAGGGAAATAACTAAGAAGATAAAAAGTCAAATTTTAAAAGCATATTCAAGCCACGTTATGTGGCGCCAAGGGCAATAACTCAAAAGATATGAAGTGAATATTAAGACACTTACTCGAGAAATCAGTCACGCTGTGTGGCACCAAGGACAATAACTCAAGGTATGAAATCAATAATTCAATGCTTATTCGAGTAATATGCCCGGATGTATAGCGCCAAGGGCAATAAATCAAAAGTTATGAAGTAATTATTTAAAATAATGAATTCAGTAAAAAGTCACATTAGCTTTTGTAAATGATGCTCTGAACCTAGCCTAGTAAAATCCTTTTTTAAAATGACGCCCGGATCCTGGTCCAGTAAAATCCTTTTGAATCATATAAAAGTTCCAGATCAAGATACTCCTATAACTTACCTTATACATGTACATGTATATATACGCAGGATTTTAGATTGAAAGGCACTGTGCGACAGCAAGTAAATACGGGATTGAGGATGCAAAACAGAATATTTAATTCAATTTTATATAACTTCTTAATATTTAAAAAGAAACTGTATTCAAACTTATTACTAAATCAGCACTTGCGTTTAAAACCCTAACCACGCTTAAATCTTTAAATAGACTAAGATGTGTCGGCTGTTCTTGGTCTGCACTGGTCGCGGGGATAAAATCAGTTACATCCACGAGGTTAATATTTAGCATGGATTGTTTTTTAAGATATCAAACTAAAGCGTTTTTATCAGAATTTAAAAATCAAAATTAGAAATCGTTTTTGTTTTGTTTTTGTTTTCATTTTTTTTCAACGGACAGTATTATCAAGAAAAACATTTAAAGGCCCATGAAGCATCGAAAATGCTATTATTTCTTAAAAGTTTTTTCTTTATTATTTTTGGTCACAAGTTATATTACATTGTCAAAAAAAAGAGCTCATTGACAATATAGCCGAGTCATTTTTTTCGGCGTCCTTTCCATTTTGGCATTTAGTAAAAGTTTAGTGATCTAGTTTTTGGAATGGAATTCAAAAAACCACTTTGTTTACATTTTGACACATAAGGTCGCATTGATCACTCTTTATTTTGTTTATAAATTATCGTTCTAAATCAATTAATACAAAGTTCATAAAACTAATGTTTGCCTTCTTCACAGAACGAAACATTTATCAATTTCTGAGGCTTAACAAACCATTTAATTATACGTAAGGATTTCATTCAGTCTGTAAATGACGGAAATCTTTGAGAGAGAAAATAATATGATAAGTTTATATTAAGATATTTGATACGATTAAAAGTGAAAATTAGAATAAACAATTAATAGTATGATAAAAGTACATACCTGTTTCTCATTCCATCGCTGACAAAAGCTACCAAAATCATTCGAATACATCCGACTGTTTCAATTATTTCTCAAGTTGTCAACCGTCAACTTTGTTCAAATAAAAAATACTCCAGAAACTTGATATCCACTTGTACGATATGTACCGGTTCAATATTCCAGACGGCAAAAGTTCGGTCAAAAAAATTAAAGGATGACTCTTCAATCATAAAGAGAAGATTCGGTCGTATCAAGCTGATCGGATATTTTTTTTACTTTAACCCGGTCCATGTTACGAAATCGGAAACACCCGTTCACGCCTTCCCTTCGAACCGTTTAATTAAGCAGACGGGGAAAGGGGTATTTGTTGAAAAAAAGTGTAAAAAAATTGGGGGGGAGTTAAAAACCCCCCCGCCTTGGGGTTTTAAAATTTATTAATTTAAATGTGATGAAAATTTTAAAGGGAAATGTGGAAAGAAGGGCAAAATCTTCCCTCAAAATTTGGGCATATCCAATTAAAATTTAAAAAACTTCCCCACAATAAATTTAAATTTAAAAATCTTTCAGATTGGGGGTTTTATGGGGTAAATTTTGGGTTCCTGCGATTTTTTATTTTTCCCAATGTTAAAATCCCGGGTTTCCTTTTCTACGTACAGTATTTTTATCAAAACAAGCTGTGTCTTTGTAAAATTATACAAAGGGGCTTTTATACCTGACTTTTATCAATTTTATCCCACATCCCCCCTTTGGGTATCCTTCATTGGGTTACTTTCTTAACCCGCAAGATTTTCACAAAAAACAAACAAACAAAAAAACAAAAAAAAACAAAAATTTAAAAAAAAAATTTTTTCATTTTAGCGCGTTATAAAAAAATTTGGTTTTTATTTTTTAACAACTATAAATTTTAGCATGGCAAAAACCTTGCCCCAACACTCGTCACAACAAAATATTAAAGTAATTCTATGTGGAGCCTTTTTATACTTATAAACCCACTATAAAGGTGAACAAAAAGAAAGTTTAAAAAGTAAGTAAGCTAATCATTTATAGAAAAAAAATATTCAAACAAAAAAATAAAAATTTTCCCTTTAAATGATAAAAGACAAAAATTTTAAGAAGGGGATGGAAAAACTCCTAAAAAAAATTTGGGTTTTTAAAAGTATACCCATTGCCTTAAAATTAAACTTTTCATGGTTATTAATTTAGTAACTCCAAATGTCTAGTAACTTGGAATTACGTTTTTCTCAGTCAATATAAGACTTATTTTAACGATACAACATCACAAATCATAAAATATATTATCATAATTCAAATTGTCTTTAACTTTTAAGTGAGTGTTAAACTGTGCTTTATGGTCCCCGCACTAGGTGGTCTCAAATTAAAAAGGCTGTTAAGTCTTATTATAAATACTATGTCACAAAATTCGCATTTATTCTTGCTTTCGTTATTTGTCATTCGCATTGATTTTTGGGGGGGGGATTTTTTGGGGGGATTTACGTCGCACCAACACAATATAGGTCATATGGCAAAGTTCTAGCTTAGAACTCAAGTGCCCTTCCGTTCATTATTTCAAGCACATGAACGGGCACCTGAGTTGATCCACCGATGTTCCGTAAGCTAGCTGGATATAGTTTCCTCATATGAAAGAATCCAAAGATCATGTCGGGAATAATATGGAATCATTTTTTTTCTCAACTAGAAGTGTACAAATTACTAATACTAGTATAATTTATATCTATTCTATTTTCACAGTTTATTAAATTAAATGTATATGCTCGTGTATTGTATATGTGCTGGAAAAAACACTTTTCAAAAATTGACTTGCAGATGGATGTTTTTACCCAAGCTGTACACTGAAGATTCATTTCGACCTTTTCAATTAATCTTTAGCCAGCAGACGACATTAAATTCCACTTAATTCGATGGTTTTCCCTTCCATCAGAAGACAGTCTCGTGGGACCGCCGCCAATTTATTTTTCCTGCAAATGCCCCGTCATCCTATTACCCAGAATCCAATTGTATGACCTAACAACTGTTTCCGCTTAAGTTAATGAAAATGATGTCGCTTAAGTCAATGAAAATAATTTATAGCGGGCAATAAGCGTTCACTTTGTTGATGGAAAACAAATCAGATTTAATTATAACAATAGGAAGCGAGACTTTTAATGAAGACTTCATTATGGTTGGACATGATATTCCATTATTGTAGACCATTTGAAATTTTGTTAAATGGATGACTGGTTTGGCCTGATCGAGTTGGGTATTATTGTCGTTTATTGCCATTTGGTGAAAATATCAAAGACATTATGCTAACATTGAATTTTGTTATACGTTTACATGATTGGGCTAGCATTCACAATTCTATATTAGATCAAAATTCATTATATACATTAAAACGTTGAATAAAAACTGTCAATTTCCTGCCTATCAAATAAGAAATTGTCTTACGCAAGATCTGCCACATGTTAATCCAATTTCAAGAAATTATCCAGATCATATAAAACTTTTATTTTTATTTTGATGCTATTTATTTTCAATACGATCCTTATCTTAATAAATAATAATCCCTAATTCGATATTATTATATGAAATTGATCCTAATTCTATAATTGATATTTTTGTACATGATCCTGGTATGATATACACTTATTGATATTAACCCCTATTTTTATATTTATCCTAATTTCACATTGACCTAATTTAACGTTTTATATTGATCATTATTTATCCTAATTTCATATCGACCGTACTTTTGATATTGGTCATTATTTATCCTAATTTCACATTGACATAATTTAACGTTTGATATTGATCATTATTTATCCTAATTTCACATTGACATAATTTAACGTTTGATATTGATCATTATTTATCCTAATTTCACATTGACCCTACGTTTGATATTGATCATTATTTATCCTAATTTCACACTGACATAACTTAACGTTTGATATTGATCATTATTTATCCTAATTTCACATTGACCCTACGTTTGATATTGATCATTATTTATCCTAATTTCACATTGACATAATTTAACGTTTGATATTGATCATTATTTATCTTAATTTCACATTGACCCTACGTTTGTTATTGATCATTATCTATCCTAATTTCACATTAACATAATTTAACGTTTGGTATTGATCATTATTTATCCTAATTTCCCATTAACCTAATTCAACGTTTGATATTGATCATTATTTATCCTAATTTCACATTAACATAATTTAACGTTTGATATTGACCATTATTTATCCTAATTTCACATTGACCCTACGTTTTATATTAATCATTTTTATCCTAATTTCACACTGACATTATTTAACGTTTGATATTGATCATTATTTATCTTAATTTCACATTGACCCTACGTTTGTTATTGATCATTATTTATCCTAATTTCACATTCACCCTACGTTTGATATTGATCATTATTTATCCTCATTTCACATTAATATAATTTAACGTTTGGTATTGATCATTATTTATCCTAATTTCACATTAACATAATTCAACGTTTGATATAGATCATTATTTATCCTAATACATGTATTAATTTAATCAATTTTGGATGACGATCAGGATGCTAATTTTTGACCCTTATATGTTATAATAATAATTTATTCAAATTTCACATTAATTGATCATTATTAATCCTAACATTTACTAAAATTCCAATTTTGATTCACGCTCCCTTAGCAGCAGCTTATTGAATACACAAACGTTACATGAAAAAAGTGAACGGTGGAGAAACATTCGACCGATGCACAGGAAAGTAATTTTGATTTAGATCTTTATAATATAGGGGTACTAATCAAGCTCATACCGGTTCCGATTTCAATATTGATCCTGATTTTAGTATTACTCCCTTATTAAATATTCCTGATTTTAGCACTGATTACGATTTTGATACCGCTTTTGATATTGATTTTAATATTTATCCCTATTTTAGTATTGATTCCAATTCCAATATTGATACCAATTTCAATATTGATACCAATTTCAATATTGTGTTTTCAATTTTGATATTGATCACGGTTTCAATATTGATTTCGGTTGATCCAGGTTTAAATATTGATTCCGATTGATTTAGAGTTTAATACTGATCAGTTCATATGTTGATTCCTGATTTTAATACTTATCATAACTTTTGTGTCAATCACAATGTTGATATCTAATTGTTTATATTGATTACTTGCACTACGTCACATACTGTAGTCTTTTATTACATCCCAAAAATTAGTTCATGAGCTGGAATAGATATGTGTTTGCATGCAAAATAGATAATTCTAATTTCATCATTGAAACATTTGTTCCGAGTATTCTGGCAGCACTAAAAATTTGCAAAAGTACAGTTTCAACGGCAAATAAGATGTTAGCAGATAACAAAAATTAACAAGGGCTCATGTAAAAGAAGCAAACAAATAATACATTTTAATTGAAAGAAAAAAATGCATTCAATCGCGGTGCAAGGGAATTAACTCTAACATAAACATTATAGATTAAAATTTTGAGTATTCTCCCTTATATAACCATAATTGAAATAATTGACAATTGAAATACGTATATTTTCTAACGGCTCTAAGACCTTAAAGAAAATTTGTTACATGTAGAATATATTTCTATTAAATATATTCACAGATCAACTTTGATTTTATCTGTAGTTTTCATGATGATGAAAACTAATCATGGTACCCTGAATTTTGCTTACTAAAAGCTACTCATGGCAACATAAACTATGCTAATAACTACTCATGACATCAAGGACTTTGTAAACTGAAAGTAACTTATAGTTAACTGAAATCTACTAATTGTTAACTGATTACTACTCATGGCACCCTGAACTATGCTAATTGATAACTACTCATGGCATCCTGAACTATGTTAACTTATAACTACTCGTAGCACCCTGAACTATGTTTACTTAAAGCTACTCATGGCATCCTGAACTATGTTAACATATAACTACTCATGGTTACCCGAACTTTGCCAAGTAAAAGCTACTCATGGTTACCCGAACTTTGCCAAGTAAAAGCTACTCATGGCACCCTGGACTATGTTAACTTATAACTACTCATGGCACCCTGAACTTTGCTTACTAAAAGCTACTCATGACAACCTGAACTATGTTAACATTATACCTACTCAAGGCACCCTGAACTTTGCTTACTAAAAGCTACTCATGGCACCCTGAACTTTGCTTACTGAAAGCTTCTCAAGGAACCCTGATCTATGTTAACATATAACTACTCATGGCACTTAGAACTTTGCGAC